AGAAACAAATTAGGAGTAATGTGATAAGTGATGAGGGGTGGAAGTTAGTTGGTGGACATTGTACAGTAGTATATAAGCGGGATATATATGATAAAATAGGTTTGGGAACCATCCAGTGTACACCAATTTTTTTTTAATTTTATTTATTAAGTGTACATTAAAGGTCAAGCAAATTTGCTATCAAAAAGCTTATTTTTGTATACTTATGGACAAACGTTCTAAAAAATTTAGCCTAAGTGTACAACAAAGGCTTTATGTATATATTCAGAGGTTCTACTATAGTCTGCCTGACCACATTTCATATTTAACAGAGCTGCTTTTTCCTCTGCTTTTTTTGTATTACACTCTGATTCAAATTTATTTTTGCTAGTTTAATTTTAACAATTTCTTCTTCTTTGTTTACAACTTTTAGCTTCTCTATATTATCACTTTTTCCTCTTTTTCTATTTATGTTGTCTGTCTTTTGTAAGATTTTATCCTCTACTGTATCAATAGCCATTACTGTAGAAATAGTTTGGTTCTAGTTATACCTTTTTATAATCGCCTCTTATATAATTACATTATATAAAAACCTTTTTATTATCTCATCTATATTTAAGCCCAATTACTATTTAATATATAACAAAAGACCTCTATATAAGCATATCTCTTTACAAAAATATACTTTTAAAAAAGTTCTTATGGTTCAATGTGTGATTATAAAGAGGTATAGCTGTATTATGAATTTGTGTTGCTCTTTCTAGTTTTGTATGTTTGATACTTCTGTTACTTCTCCAAGAAATACAAGCTCTTCTGTTGAGAATCTTTTGTCTTGCTTCTTTGTATTTGTAACCAACTATAACTAGCTATTGCAATGCAAATTGTTGCAATAAATTCTGGATCTTTAAAACCAAGATATTTTGCTATATTAATATTTGCTTTAAGCATGATTCTTCTTTGTTTAGTATAAATTTCTTGTACTTTTTCTTGTAATATTGTTGTCAAATCTTTAATCAAGTCTATCTTCATAGTTTTTGCTATTTACTTGTTTGTAATATTGATATAATTTCAGTTTGACTTTTTTAGAATATTTCTATATATATCTTGTTTGCTTACTTTTTAACTTTACTAGATGTTTAGTTTAATGTTTGTTTACTTTCTATTTTGGTTACATGTTTAAATTTTCCCATGCTTGTGTTGTTTTGTTGTTAGATAATTTGCAAAACTAAATCTAGACAAATTTTCCAATTTTTCAAAAATCTTCTAAAAAATTTTGTCAAAGTTCTATTTTTTCTCTTTAATAGCAGACTAGTTTTGTGAAAAAGAAAACTTTCAAATAACTATAACTAATTTTTTTAGCTCTATCTTTTTTTTTAGAACTACTTTGTTGTCTTAATATAGTTTTGCTCTACTTCTAAAATTTCTTCTGCTCTAATTTTAATTAAAGTGATCTACAGAAAAAAGTTTTTGTAGCTTTTTTTATTGTGATTTGCAAAAATATATAAAATTTGATAATAAAAAAAATAAAAAGAATTTGATAATTTCTGATTCTGATTTGTGATTGTTTTTAGACTTTTAGATTAGACTTTAATATACAAAAGATTTATAAAATATGTATAATAATCTCAAATCTAATATAATATTAAAATTATATATATTAAAACCTAATCTTAAAGTCTAATCTAAAAGTCTAAAAAAATATTAAAAAATCAGAAATCAAAATTGGAAATCATTAATTTCTTTTTTTTATTATCAAGTTTCATTTTTTTGCAAACTGCAATAATAATAGATCATTAAAAATTAAACTGCATAGTTAAAATTAAATTAATTAAATACATAAGAATCTTATTTACAGGCTTTTATTAAAGTTACTCAAGTTCTGAATTTGTATGTGAAATGATTTCATTATTACTAGTATTTTTGCACATCTACCAAATTAATAAATAAAAAAAATTTGTTCTGATATTTGGTTTAAAAATAACTAATTATGAGTTGGAATACATTACTTCTTGTCAAGGATTGATCGATTTTGCTCAAAATTACTAAAATAATATTCAATTCATCAGGCAAAATTCCTCAAAATTAAGTAATTTAGGTAGTTCGGGCATGAGAGATTTTTTTTCTTAACAACTGATAATCTTGTTATAAACTTGATTAAATAGCATTGTTTATACTAGCCTGGCTTTAATGATCTCTAACTTGAAATTTAGAATGGCCTGTAGGAGTTTATATATGAAATATTTGCAATAATTAGATTTATTGCGATGAATTTATGTTTTAGAGCATTTTGATTTACTATAAAATGTGTCATTTACTATTTGTTTTTTGATATTTCTTATTGTAAAATCATATAGATTATATCTAATCTATCTTCTTGTGAAAAAATAGATTAGACATTATTACAATAAGAAATGTCAAAAAAACAAATAGGTTTTTGTCTTAAAAATGATTTTACAGAACTATGTAGATCTTATAAATAAAAATTAAATTTCTAGCTATCTCATAATCCAATTTAAATAACTTTTTTTATTTTGTAGAACTTACTAAGCTTTACAAAATAAAATAAAAAATTTATTTGAATTAAATTATTAAATACTAGAAATTTAAATTTTTATTCATAAATCTACATAGTCCTGTAAGGTTATTTTCAAGACAAAAACCCCAAATAGTAAATGTTATATTTCAAAATGCTCTAATTTTATAATTTACCATAGTGCTATGCTAATTCTTTAGGCTGTTCTCAAGTAGTATTCAATATGATTTGTTAGTAATAATAAAATTCATATTTCAGTAATTATTTAGGTGTGAGATAGGTGATACAAAGTATCACCATAGTATTTAATATTTTTGTAATTATATTAGTGAGTTACTTAATATGTAGTTAAGTTAGCTTGTATTAGAATTATTGCAATTTCTATTGTACTTTACCTTAAAAAATTCAGACATAGAACTTGTATACACAGTGAACAAGATTGAATTAGTTTTTATTAAAATTATTATAAAATAATTCTGTTGCAGAACTTATTATCTTGGTGATCATATTATATAGTTAGGCTAGTTTGTATTGAAAATTACTGTAATTTCTACTATGAGTTACTATAAAAAATTCTGTTACAGAACTCATTATTCCTGTGATTACAAGTTAGTTTTATTGGAATTACTATGATTTCTATATAGTTAAGATTTGGTTTGTATTAGAATTATTGTAATTTCTATTATAAAATTACTGTAAAAAAAATTATACTTGCTATTTCAAAGAATATAGTATATAACCAATGTTGAATTGGTTTGTATTAAAATTATCATGATTTCTATATATGTAGTTAAGATTGATCTGATTTGTTTATAGTGGAATTATCATAATTCTATCATAAGTTACTATAAAAATCTAGTTATAGAACTTGGTAGCCAAGTATTAATTAAGGTTAAGTAAATTTGTATTGAAATTATCATAATTTTATACTGTAAAATATTTTATTATAGGACATACTTGCTATACTAATAACCAAAATATATAATTAAGGTTGAGTTAGTTTGCAATAAAGTTATTTCAATTATTATTGTTAGTGACTACAAAATATTATATTTAAAACTTACTTGATATTCTAGTGATACACAATAAGTTAAGATTGAGTTATTATGTATTGGAGCTATGTATCATAATTTCTATTATGAGTTACTATAAAAAAACCAATATAGTATATAGTAGTTAATATTGAATTAGTTTGTATTGAAATTATTATTATTATGGGTCACAATAAAAAATTTCGTTATAGTGCTTGTCATTTTAATATGTGATTAAAATCAACTAGTATTATTGAATTATCATTATTTCTACTATGAGTTATTGTAAAAAAAATATATTCTATTACAGAACTTACTACTCTGGTAATTATATTATATAGCTAATTAAGTTTGCTTGTATTAAAATTTTCAAAGAAGATTATATCACATAAACAAATTAGATAAAGAGACATTAAAATAGTAAATTCTTAAAAACAAATACTTCAGTATAGCTATGTTTTATTCTCTAGCAATTAGTTTTCTTTACAAGTTATTATCTGACATTATAGTAAACAAATAGCAATATTATCTGTAGCAAATAAAATGCCAGTGTGACATCTGGTAAATAACTTGTAGGAAAAATAACATGCAGCTTTACATTGCTAGCCAGGTCAAAACAGATATATATTAAAGCTTAATATCTCTAACTGGCACATATGAAGGCTTAGTATCCCTAACATATCAAAGCTATAAGCCAAGCAACCAATTAGAACATATTCTTTAATGATAGCACTATATGTAAAAAATATACAACACATTATTTACTTTTTTTATTGCACATTATACTACACAATCGACAAAATGAAAAAAAAGTTAAATTCTTTCATTATGATTTTTTGTTATAGCTTTTGATGATTACTGATTATCAATTCATCATATTAGCAAAAAATTAGAAGAAAAAAACCAAAAAATCAAAATTATCAAAAAGTAGTAATATAAACATAAAGTAAATATCAGGAAATTTTTTAAGCTAATAAATAATAATTGCTAACAACTAATCAATTATTATTAATTAAATTTAATCAATTACTATCAATAGTGGTGTTTGCTATCATCAAATATCCTTATTGATTGACTACCCCAGTGGGACCTACAAAGATACACCAATCAGAAAATATTCTTTATATTGATAATTTCACCTAATGTATTATAAATTAATTTTTTTTTAAAATCTGAGCAAAGGTTCCTGCATAGCCACAGGTCAAATTTGATAGTTTTTTTATTTTAATTTTACAAATTCATAGAATTCAAATAAAAAAATTTTATCAAATTTGGCCTGGTAATTATCGAGATACTTCATTTAAAGTTTGAGAAAAGTTTGGTGCAACTTCTATTTTGATTGATATTTTAGTTCTTTTAAAAACTTTGAGCAAACATATCTCGATAATTACAAGGTCAAATTTGATAAATATTTTTTTTTTGATTTCTACAAATTCATAAAATTTGAATAAAAAATTTTATTGAATTTGGCCTGGTGATTATTGAGATAGCTTCACTCAAAGTTTAAGAAAAGTTTTGGCACAGCTATTTTGATCAATATTTGTTTTTTTTAAAAAAATTTGAACAAAGGTATCTCGATAATTACTAGGCCAAATTTGATAACCTTTTTTTTTAATCAAATTCTATAGATTAGTAGAACCCAAATTAAATAACCTTGCCTGTGATTATTGAGATATTTTTACTTAAACTTTTAAAAAACTCAAAGCATCTATCAAAATTAAAGCTACACCAAAACTTTATTTAAACTTTGTGCAGAGTTAACTCAATAACCACCAGGGCAAATTCAATAAAGTTTTTTTTTATTAGGATTTTATGAATTCATAGAATTCAAATAATATAATTTTATTGAATTTGATTTAATAATTATCAAGACATCTTCACTCAAAACTTGAGAAAAGTTTCAGCATAGCTTCTATTTTAATAAACATTAAATTTGATTCAAAATTTTAAATATTTAATACATTCTAATGCATACTATTATATTTAGTTTTTAAGATTCTTTTAATTTCAAAAATCAAATAGATTTGTTTAAAATAATATATTAAAATAATACATATATAATTATCATGAGATTAAAGTTATTTTTTATAAAAGATACTAAAACAGAGTTTTATGCATATATATAGCAAGTATTATTGTTTTATTATTTGTTTATTATTTTTTTTTTAGAATTATATTTGATACTAATATTTAGTATTACTGCTTTCTTACTAACTTCCTTTGAGATCATGAAAGTTAATTTTTTATTAATTTTCTTGTTGCAGATTTTATATATTTTTACTATATTAACTATATTAATTATACTATTTTAAAGCCTTACCAATTTTACTTTCACTATTTTTTTCTTACCTAATTTTTCTTAAATTTCAATATATAAGAAGATTTCTTTTTTTACTTTTTTATCTTTTTTTGTCCTCTTTCTCTATATAAAAAACTCTTCATTTCATTACATTTTATCATTCTAAAACCTATGCATCTCTATTTTCTATTTGGCTATAATGAGGGTTTTAAAATTAAAATAAAAGAATCTTAGTAAAATTGTTATTCAAAGAATCCTACTATCACAGTACTCATGTAACTAGTAATCAGATACATATTGATCGAATATTGTGATCAGAATGGTGTAATCAGGTTTGTATAAAATTAATTAAAAGTTTGTAATACTGATTGCATGAGTGATGAGTAAGTATGTAATAATCAGTGACGCAAAATATGTATTAGTAATTAATAATATAAGATATCAATCCTAAATGGGAAGAAAAGAGCTTTAGTAGTTTTGAGAACTTTGGTTTTATTATCTCTTTAAGTTATTTTTAGTTTTATTTATGTATATATACATATTATTATTGTACCAGTTCTTGAATATATTAGTAAAGTTAATAAATACACTGTAGTTAGATAAACTCTGTAATACTACTTATTTTCAAAATGTGTTACTTATTTATTATAATTTTAAAATGTTCAAATATATATTTGTCTTTTAATTGTCTTTATTAGACATAATTATACATGTTTCATTTAATTTTTTTTAGTTGATTATAATCGATCAGTACTGGCATACAATTATTGATAATACTACATTTGGTCATATACTTTTGCTTCAATAATACTTAAATATTTTGTTAAAGAAATATTTTAAACTTGTATGTAGATAGGTTTTGCATTAATATTAAGTTATCTGAAATTGTACTTGACTAAAAATTAGTATCTAAAACAAATTGTATTAGTTACTAATTTTAAATAAGCATTACTTTAGATATTAATTTAATTATATACTTTAAATTATAGCTATCAAATATACTAATCTTGTAAAAGACTATTTAAAGAACATTTTTACTTTTATTGATACTCATAATAATGTTATTAGCAAAACCCAGATCTTGTTTACATTGTGGAAATGTTAAGAATCTTGAAGAATTCAGTTTTTATAAAACTGATTATTTTAAGACATACAAAATTTGTCTTCAAAAACTTGATTTACCTTCAGCAAAAGATCAAAATAATGAAAATAAATTTTATCAAAATAATGAGAATGATTTTTTTTTAAATAATATATTTGAATTAGATAATTTAGAAGAGTTTATTTCTACTAAGCTTGAAGCATGTAAAAATAATAAAGATAGAATTGAAATAAATCTTTGTATAATTTTACAAAGTGAAAAATTTAGTAATATAACTGTAAATTATATTTTTCAAGAAATTATTAAAATTATTTAAATTTCTGATGGTTATAAATGGAATTATATACATCATTATAATAATATTAGTAATAAACAAACATGATGGTATACATGTTCTCTTTCTGCTCAAAAAAATCATTTAGAATCAAATCCTCAACATATACACAATAAACAAGAATGATTTACATGCCAAGGCTTAGTACAAATTATCATAAATTTAGAAACAATGATCGCACATATTTATTTACATTATGAGCTTTATTTATATTCAAAAATAAAAGAAAATATTGATAATGAAGTGAAAGAATTTATTAAAAACAATGTGCATCTTAATTCAAGACAACTTTGGGAGCAATTGCAATATCAATCAAATACATTAATACAAAAGCAAGTTTATTTTTGGTGAACTACATATTACCAAGAACTTTATCTTCATAATAATAATCAATTTACTTCAGCAACTTACCTTTTACAAGAAAATAAAAATTATTCATTATTATATAGTAATCAAGGAAATAAACTTTTTAAAATTGCATTTATTACTCCATTTTTATATTTATTACATTTTAAATATGAGAAAGTAGCTATAGATACTACATATAAAACAAATAGTGCAGGATTTAAGCTTTATGTAGTTATAACAAGCATAGAAGGTGTTGGATATCCACTATCATATTTAATTCTAAATTCATTAATTTCTACACAAAACAAGCATACTATAGCACTAACTAATTATTTAAGTATATTACAAAAGCATAGTATTAATTTTACTAATAAAGATTTTGCACAAATCAATGCTATTAAAACAACTTGGCCTTGTATAATGGTTCAATTATATTTATAGCATTTATGTCATGCAGTTTTATGTCAGCTATGAAAAAAGAATATTCTACAAAAATAATTTATAACTCAGAAGATGTATATAAAATCTTTAACTTTATTGATTCCAAATTTAAACTATTAGCATCTGTGCAATATTTTGTCTATCAGTATTATATAGTCAAGTACTCTCTTTAATAGTAGAACATCTTAACTATCATCCACTTATTCCTGTTAATACTTCAGAACCATTTTTATCTCTATCTACAATTTATAAAAATACTGTAATAGCTATATATACATTTTGTATTAACAACAATCTACCATGTTTATAGGTATATCTTTGGAAAGAATAGTATCAAGCTAATCATTGGTGTCTTTGGGCATAATCTGCTAGTAATAATATATTTTTAGCATATACAACAATGATTAGTGAAGCTCATTGAAAATCACTTAAATATGAGTTTTTATATAAGTTTAATAAATCTTATTTAGACTTACTTGTTCATATTATTACTAGCCAATTTGTACTAAACTTAATTAATAAATATAGTCTTAATCTTTCTGGTCATATTGAACCTGCATAAAAAAAAGATTTTAAGAAAACCTGTGATTTTTAGCAAAAAAAACAACAATAGATTCAACTCAATATTATACAAATATTCAAAGATGGATATGTAGTTGCCCAGCCTATTTAATTAGCTGATTTATGTTGTGTAAACATCTTATTAATATAGCAGACAGTAATTTTATTAAACTTACAATATTCATTTGTATATATTGAACACATTAATACTAAACTATTAGACTCTTTATTTATTAAACTAAATACTTATTTAAATTTAGATATTAACCAGAATTTATTTTTTTTACATATACTTTCTGATTTCAATTTTGAAAATAGTATAGTTGATTGTTTTCAACCAATAGTTAATAGGTTAAATGGTTTAGTAAAGGATTTAGAAAAAGAAATTGCCAATAGTAATAATTATCATTTACTAGCAGTTCATCGAAATATTCAAAAAACTCTTAAGATTGCAAAAGATATTAAAGAATATTGTAACTGTCTTTCCAATATTCAAACATGAAAAAACAAGGAGTGGATGATATTTTTATCTCAAGTTAATAAATGTATGTGAATCTTTTATTTTATTATTCGATTTAAATTTTTTTTTTTTTCAGTATTAAGATGAGATTATGCCTCATAACATTATTATAAGCATATATATTTTGTATATATTATGTGATACAATTATTATATACTATTATTAAGTACATTAGGGCTCAGACAGGTTTTAACTATTATTTGTAACCTAAACCTACTAGAGAATTCCATATTCCACTTATGTACAACCTGAATTTTTAACTACTATATCTGATTTGTACACATAACTCTCTTTTATATTCACTGCATCCCTCATATTTACAATATACAACTCCCTCTTTGTATTCTGTAAGAGGCCTCGTAATCTAATAGTTACTTCAAAATTGGTCAAACTGCTCTACTTTTCTAATTCAAGCTTTTCATCTAGCTACTATTGGTTCTGCATCATGTATTAATACCATGTAGAGCTTACACTTAATAAGATATAGTTTTGCAAATGAGACAGCACTATAGCTGTTTCACAGAGTTATGGCCCAGTTAACATCATATGTGTATTATATGCATTGCTAATTCTTGATAACATGTACTCCTATAGTTAGTAGGTAGTGAAAGTAAGAAAATAATCATAACAAATTACTTCCAAAAGTGTTTTTTGTACTTCAGATCTTCCAAATTATTCTGAGTTTCTCCTAGATATATTTGGTGTTCTTCCTTTTATTCGTATATTGCTACACTCCCAGCTCAGTGCTTCTAGCTATTTTGCTCATGTTCAGGTATAATTATACATACTCCAAGTTTCAGCCAACTTTCTATAGAAGTTTGTTCTTTTTCTCATCAGGTAAGTAGTTGCATCAGAGGTGTTTCAAATCCAGTAAGGCTAATTCTTTGCTACAGGTCTCTTTGTGTTCACCACTTCTAATTCTAGTTACTATCTGGTTATCCTCCCAAACAAGATCCTCAATACCGCCTTAGGGATTGTTGGTACTACCTTGCTAATCATGAATTAAATGCATAGCCTTTGTATAATAGAACCTTCTATACCAACCACTATTACACATAGTATCAACTACTTCACAATGGACCTTTTTCCAGAAATTCCTAATCTAGATCTGTATTTACTTGGACTTTCTATAGTAGATACTTTCAAATGTTCATAAGTAAACATACCTACTAGAACTTGAACCTAAACTTGCTCATGGAGGGTTGGTATATTTTTTAATTACTAATCTAATAATTAAACTATATAACATATTTTTTGTAACAAATTATTATTTAAAAAAAGCAATCTAAAATAGTTATATGTCAAAAGAATAGTTTAAATATTAATTATATTACTATATATTTTAAATTAGAGTTTTATTAATAAAGTTTAGAGATTTATTTATTAATAAGATAAATTGGTTATTTTAATAGATAAATATAACCTTGGATTCTGTTATATGTAAAAATTAAGTAATTTTTTTAAAAAAACATTATAATATACAAAAAAAATAATACAATCTGTTAAAAGCAATAATATCAGTAAATATTACTAATTAAAACATTTGAGTAAAATGTAATAGATTAAGAGTTATTCCTTATACTATAAGGTATTCATAAACAAGTTTGTCTAGATGCATATGGGAGGCTGCTAGTAGAAACCAAGCAAATTGTTTTTAATAAGTTTTTTTAAAATTTTAAATCAAAATATCTCAACAACTATTAAATTAAACTTGATAAATTTTTTTTATTTTAATTCTATAACTACATAAAATTAAAATAAAAAAAATTTTATCAAGTTTGGTTTAATAGTTGTTGAGATATTTTATTTTAAAGTTTTAAAAAAATTTACTTAAATACAATTTGTTTGGTTTCTACTGGCAGCCCCCCATATATCTAATAACCTTAGTTAAATATCATAATTTTAACTTTAAATATCTTGTCTTATTTGTGTAATTGTATTAATAATATATATAAAAGCTGATTAGACTTGGATTTTTTATTTAAAATAGCCATATGCTTCTGAAGCTCCCATGAAGAATTAATACCAAATATGAAGCTGATAAAGAAAGGCCTTTTAATAGTAATTCAAATTGTTTATAGCATTCTATACTCTTAAATACTTAATTTAATAGCTATGCTAAGTTTTTCTCAAGTTTTAAGCAAAAATATTTTGATAATTATTGAGTCAAAAATTATAAGGTAGGTATGGATATTATGGTGCACTACTAATTATGGCGCAGTTGCAATATCTTGTGATCCACTGATTAGAATTGCACAATCTTAGAACCAATTAATTCATCTCAGTGATGCGAATTAATTGGCAGTGAAATTATTCAAATCTGATTGCTAGATTATGAGATATTGCCAATAAGCTACAATACTCCAATTGCGCTATTTTATATTTATTAATTTTGTATTACAACGATCATCAATAATGCATGACTCTAATTAGAGTTAAACAATTTTGGTACTAACCAATTTGTCTTGATGAGACGAATCGAATAGTATAAAATTTATTCAATTTGAAACTATAGATCACAAGTTATTCTAGATTTACTTTTAATTACTATATTCTGCCTATAATATTTAAATGATAATATCTTGAGATCTAATGATTAATATTGGATGATTTTTATGTCATTCAATTCGTCTCATTGAGACGAATCAATTGGTGGTAAAATTAATCAATTCTGATCACTAGATACTAAGATATTGCTAGTGCGCCATAATATCTATATTTTGCTACATTATTCTTTAAAATTTGTGTATACACGATCATTAATAATTCATGATTCTGTAATCAAAATTAAGCAATTTTAGTACTAATCGATTCGTCTTGATAAAACAAATCGAATAGTACCAAAATTATTTTAATAGATCATGTGTTATACTAAATTTATTTTAACTGCACTATAATACCTATACTTACCATATTATTTAAATAAAAAAAGTTATTAAATTTGGTCTGGTGGTTATTAAGATATCTCTGTACAAAGTTTGAATAAAGTTTTGGCGTAGCTTTTATTTTAATAGATGCTTTGAGTTTTTTAAAAGTTTAAGTGAAGATATCTCAATAACCACAAGCAAAATTATTTATTTGAGTTATACTAATCTGTAGAATTCAAACAAAAAAAAAGATTATCAAATTTGGCCTGGTAATTATTAAAATACTTTTGCTCAACTTTTTTTAAAAAAAAACTAAACATCGATCAAATAGCTGTACTGAAATCTTGAACAAAGTTATTTCTATAATCACCAAGCCAAATTCAATAAAATCTTTTTATTTGAATTTTACAAATTTGTAGAATTCAAACAAAAAAAAAAGTTATCAAATTTGGTCTAGTAATTATTGAGATAATTTTGCTCAAATTTTTTTTAAAAACCAAATATTAATCAAAATAGCTGCGCCAAAACTTTTCTTAAACCTTGAACAAAGTTATCTCTATAATCACCAGACCAAATTCGATAAAATTTTTTTATTTGAATTCTATGAAATAGAATTCAACCAAAAAAAAGATTATCAAATATGGCCTGGTAATTATTGAGATAACTTTGCTCAAATTTTTTAAAAAAACCAAACATTGATCAAAATAGCTATGCCAAGACTTTTCTCAAACTTTGAGTGAAGTTATCTTAATAATTACCAGACCAAATTTGATAACTTTTTTTTTGTTTGAAATCTACAAATTCATAGAATTTAAATAAAAAAATTTATTGAATTTGGCCTGGTAATTATTGGAACAATTTTGCTTAAATTTTTTTTTAGAAAAACAAACATCGATCAAAATAGCTGCACTAAAACTTTTTTCAAACTTTGAGCGAAGTTATCTCAATAATCACCAGGCCAAATTTAATAAAATTTTTTTATTTAAATTCTATGAATTTGTAGAATTCAAACAAAAAAAAGGTTATCAAATTTGGCCTGGTAATTATCAAAATATCTTTGCTTAAATTTTTTTAAAAAAACCAAACATTGATCAAAATAGCTACACTAAAACTTTTCTCAAACTTTGAGCAAAGCTATCTCAATAATCACCAAGCCAAATTTGATAAAATTTTTTTATTCGAATTTTATGAATTTGTAGAAATTAAAAAAAAAAGTTTATCAAACTTGGCCTTGCAATTATCAAAATATATTTGCTCAAAGTATTTAAAGAACTAAAATATTGATCAAAATAGAAGTTGTGCCAAACTTTTCTTAAACTTTGAGTGAAGATATCTCGATCATTACTGGGCCAAATTTGATAAATTTTTTTTATTTGAATTCTATGAATTTGTAAAATTCAAATAAAAAAACTATCAGATTTGACCTGGTGGCTATACAGGAACCTTCGCTCAGATTTTAAAAAAAAATTAATTTACACTGCATTAGATGAAATGATTGACATAAAGAATGTTTTCTAATTGGTGCATCTTTGTAGGTCCCGCTGGGCTAGTCTCTATTGATTTTAATTGATAATATTAATGATTTATAGTTTACTAATAATTGATTACTATTGATAAATTATTTATCAATAACTATCGATAACTATCGATTACTATTGATAACTATTGATAACTATTGATAACTATTGATAACTATTAATAACTATCAATTTTTACTATTTCAATTTTTATTAATAACTATAACTATTGATTTTTACTATATCATTTTCTATCAATGAGCTTGATAACTATTAATTTTTATATGATAACTATTGATTTTTATTATATTAATTACTATTGATAATTATAATAACTATTGATATTTATTTATATCAATTCTTATTGATATGGGTATTACTAATCAATTAATAATCTTAAGAGAATTTCTATTTGTACACGGTGTGTTTATACACTGTTACACAAAACAAATAGAAAAATTCAATTTGTAGATCAATTTTTGTACAACAAAAACAAAGCAAAATATTAAAATTTAATTATAACTCAAAATTTTGCTTATGAAACCACTTTTTAAGAACTAATAAAAAAATTACTTGCAAAATTTTAGTATAGACTATG